ACCGTGGCCCCTGCCGGCAGCAGCCCCCCAGCATCACTGCTGTCCCCCCAGCTGCAGCCTGGCCGTGCAGCTCTCAAAGGTGCGGGAGAGCGTCCTCATCATCTCCACCGACCCCGCACACAACATCTCAGACGCCTTCGACCAGAAGTTCTCCAAGGTCCCCACCAAAGTCAAGGGCTATGACAACCTCTTCGCCATGGTGAGTCCAGGATGGAGCCGGGAGTGCAGCCCCCTGCACGGCCCTTCTCACCCTCTGAACCCCCTCAGGAGATCGACCCCAGCCTGGGGGTGGCGGAGCTGCCTGACGAGTTCTTTGAGGAGGACAACATGCTGAGCATGGGCAAGAAGATGATGCAGGAAGCCATGAGCGCCTTCCCCGGCATCGACGAGGCCATGAGCTACGCTGAGGTGATGAGGTGAGCGGGGCTGTACAGGGTCGGGGGGTGCCTGTTGGGGGCTGAGATGTTGTGGCCCTGCTGACCCCCCTGCCGGCCCCGCAGGCTGGTGAAGGGCATGAATTTCTCGGTGGTGGTCTTCGACACGGCGCCCACTGGCCACACGCTGCGGCTGCTCAACTTCCCCACCATCGTGGAGCGAGGCCTGGGCCGCCTCATGCAGATCAAGAACCAGATCAGCCCCTTCATCTCCCAGGTGAGGATGGGGGCAGCGGGGATGGAACCCCCGTGGGGGCACAGCACGTGTCGGCCTCGCAGGGTAGATCTCATCGCTTGCCTCCCCCAGATGTGCAACATGCTGGGTCTGGGGGACATGAACGCCGACCAGCTGGCCTCCAAGCTGGAAGAGACACTGCCCGTCATCCGCTCCGTCAGCGAGCAGTTCAAGGACCCGGTAAGGCCCCTGGTGGGGCGGGGGGCTGCTCTGGGCAGCATGGAGAAACTGGGAGAGGGACGGGGATGCCAAGAATGGGAGTGGGGATGCTGGGAGAGGGACAGGGACATGGTCAAGCTGGTCTGTGCACATTCCTGCAGGGAATCCTCTGCCCCAGGGCCGGGCAGGGATCCCTCCGGGGCCTCCGTGCTGGACAGCCGGCTCTGTGGAGGGGACGCTGAGCGTGGGGTCACGCTGAGCGCGGTGTCGCCGTGTCGCTGAGTGCGGTGTCGCTGAGCGCGGGGTCACGCTGAGCGCGGGGTCACGCTGAGTGCGGTGTGGGGATGGCAGGAGCAGACGACATTCATCTGCGTGTGCATCGCCGAGTTCCTCTCGCTCTACGAGACCGAGCGGCTGATCCAGGAGCTGGCCAAGTGCCGCATCGACACCCACAACATCGTGGTGAACCAGCTCGTCTTCCCCGACCCCCAGCGTCCCTGCAAGATGTGCGAGGCCCGGCACAAGATCCAGGCCAAGTACCTCGACCAGGTAGTGCCCGGGTGTGGGG